CCTACTCTAACACCAATCAACAATTCAAGCATCCATTCTCAATCATCATTCATGTTTGTTTTAATTAACAATCAAACTTTAATATCTACGTTAAGCATGCACATACTTAGTTAATCCTAACACAACTTATAGATCCACAAGTCCCGCCTCACCTTTGCCTTTTGGTTGGAACTGTGAAGTCGTAGATACGGTTACTGCAGTTGACGGTCGGAAGCTGCCAAAAGTAGACTTTCGGGAATCAAAAATTTCCTAAAATAGAACTTTTCTAAAATGAAAACTTTCTAAAAATAGAACTTTGGCAAATTAGAACATTCTAAATTAAAGAATTCCAAAAATAAATTAGGGTTTTCGGATTAAGGTTTCTGCTAAACTTACACAACAAGAATTCTCAGATCTAGAGTTTTCAGATTTCCAGATTAAGTGATTTCTTGGCCGATAAGCAATTAACATAACTTTTCTGATTTACCTCAGATCGGAGATATGGAAACGGCCGCGGCAAGGTGTATGGATGGGCTTTCCAACGGTATGCTGACAGGCTGCTAGATTGATTTGGTTCGCCGGTAAATGGATTTACAACTCTTACGAACTGGGAAAAAACAGATTTTTGGAAATCAGTAGAAAGATCCGCTCAGATTAAAATGGCCATAGCTCTCAGAAAATACCTTCAAATCGGACTATTCAAGAGGCGCTGGATAGCTAGAAGGATTATCTTTCCAATGACACCAAGATCTGGATCTTGGTCGATCGGATTCGAACGGAATCTAGTTCGAAAGGTGGCGGCTCGAGATGCTATTGGAGGCTGAGCTGCAAGAAATCTGGCAGAGCTTCGCTAGGGCCTTTTTCTGCCCTTCCTAGGTTTCTGGTCGACCACTATTTAAAAGGGAGGGATGAGGGTTATCAGCAACTAGATTTAGGATTTGAATGGGCTTATGAGTTTTAGGATTAGAAAAGAATTAATTGGGTTTAGGGATGGGTTTGAGATGTCACAAACTCTCCCACTTAAAAAAAAAAATCCGTCCTCGAATTTGGGGAATGACTTTTCAACTTCTCTCCCACTTGTCTGCGACTAATCCTGAAGTGTCTTCTTTCTTCTTATCTGATCGTGACATCTCAACGCTTCCGTTGCACATTCTATCTCTTGAGCTACCTGTTAGAAGTTGATAGCCTTGGATTTCACAACTTCGCCTGCCCGCTTACTTCATGGTTGACCAAACTTCCAACACTTGTCAATCTAGGGCATACAAATCTATGTATAGCTCCTACGTTGAGCAAAGTGTATTTGGTATCACCCTTCCCCCAGATTCTGAATTTTCACGGTTTTCTAACTTTAAACGACTCGATAGCACGAAGGACTTGCACACAATAATTAAGCATTCTAGTTCACATAACAGAAATACTAAAATATTAATATGACTTACCATCGGCCGGCTTGTCATCCTCAGTTGCATACTCCGCCTCCATTGCATACACTTGGGGTCCCAACGCTGGACGCTTTACAGGTGGCGGCAACTGATCCCTATTTTGGGTCCCTTGTTGCACTCCTCCCACTAGTCTCACTCTGCAGTTTTTAGCGGCATGCCCCAACTTTCCACATGTGCCACAAGTGATTCCTTTATCAGGACAGTACCTTCTGATATGGCCTTGCTTCCCACACCCGAAACACGAATCCGAATCCGCCTCACATGGTCCATGGTGGAATCTTGCGCATAAGTGACACTGAGGTGGTTCTCTCCCGTCCTGTACAGCACCGCGGTTATCATGAATTTGCATCTGAGGTTCCACCATCCTTGCTGCTCTAGCTTGGGCACTCCTTGCCAGTTTCTCCTCATCCTTTATTCCCTTCTCGGCTAAGGCAGCCTTCTCAACCAGATTAATCACTGATGTGTAGTCCAGCAGCTGACAACAATGTCTACTCTCAGTCCACCCATGAACTTCTTCACCAAACGGTTCTCAGACATCTCTCTCCCCGCAAACCTCTTAAGGCGATTGAACTCCTGAGCATAATCCCTCACAGTACAGTTCCCCTGCTCCAACTTTAGAAACTCTGCTTCAAGCCTGTCTTCAGCTTCCTGAGGAAAATACTTCCAGTCGAACTCATATCTGAATTCATTCCAGCGTAACACATCCCCTTGTTGCAGCTCGGTATTCAATCCTTCCCACCATTTGTGAGCTTCATCCCGCAAGTACTGAACTGCCATTTCTAATTTGTACCCCACTGGGAACCTTGCCGACGCGAAGCTGCGTTCCAATAACTTTCTCCGACGGTCTGCTTTGATCATATCGGTCCCACCAGCGAAAGTCTCCATGCCCAACTCTCTCATCATCCTCATCACATCGTAGTAGGAGGGCACCTGCAGACCATACCCCTGCGCTTGTTGTGGCATCGACATTGGAGGTGGAGGCGGCAAGTCCTGGTATGCATCATTCTCGGGAACTTGATACTGCCCCGCAGCTGCACCTTGAACCACTCCCAGAACTGCTCCGACTACTGGAAGTCGCTCCAACAATGGTCTAAGCAACTGCTGGATATCTTGCATCACAGCTGCTCCCACTGCTGCGCCAATAGCCGCAGGATCCACTGCTTGGGCCGCTACTGCTGGCGCTGGGCCTCCTGATGGCACATTCTCTTCCACAACAGCTGGTATTTCATTCACTGGGTTAATTGCGTTCCTGTTCTGATTGCCGTTCCCGTTACTGTTGCGTCGAGGTCTCGCCATTCTGAAAAACAACACTTGAATCAGATCTTCAATCTTTAGAGACCACTGCAAAACACAAACTCAAGCATAGGTCGGTGGTGCTTTATTTTTTTTTTTTTGAAAATCCCCATTACCCCAAATATAGTTGAAAACATTTTACTTTGAAAGGACCGCCTTCCAGGACAGAACCGGCTTGGCAACCTTACGCTCTGATAGCACTTGAGAGACCCCAATCACTATATAAGCCGAGAGTAGTTCTCACATGTTAAATCATTTTTCAAAAATAAAAATAAACTTATTAAATAAGCAAATAACTGAAATGTCTTTATTAAAACCGAACCAGAAACTAAAAGCGTCATAACAATTAAAATCAGAATTTAAACTTATAAATAGAAATAACTGGAATATCTTTTAAAAGTTTTAAATAAAATAAATCGTCTTTTTATGGTTTTCGGAAATAGCACCACTCCGACTTTAACTCAAGTCACTTATAAAAGAGGAGTGAGTAACAAGTTACTTAGTGAAACGATCATGCCTGCCTACTAGATCTATATGAAGCATTCATCATAACCACATATGTATCTACTCAACCTAGCGATTAGGCAAATATCAATCATCATGCAATCACAAGTTCATAGAAAACCTATCAAACAAGTTCTCAATCATCATTCATGTTCGCTTTAATTAACAATCAAACTCTAATATCTAAGTTCAGCATGCACATGCTTTATTAATCCTAACAGAACTGATAGATCCACAAGTCCCGCCTCACCTTTGCCTTTTGGTTGGAACTGAGAAGTTGTAGATATGGTTACTGCAGTTGACGGTCGAAAGCTGCCAAAAGTAGACTTTCGGGAATCAGAACTTTCCTAAAATAAAACTTTCCTAAAATGGAAACTTTCCAAAAATTAGAACATTCTAAATTAAGGAATTCAAAAAATAAATTATATGGTGGCTAGATCGATTTGGTTTGCCGGGAAATGGATTCACAACTCCTTTTACGAAACTGGGAAAAAATAGATTTCTGTAAATCATTAGAAAGATCCGCTCAGATTAAAATGGCCATAACTCTCAGAATATACCTTCAAATCGGACGATTCAAGAGGCGCTGGATAGCTAGAAGGATTATCTTTCCAATGAAATCATCGGGATCCGGGTCGATCGGAGTCGAATGGAATCTAGCTCGAAAGGCGGCGGCTCGGGAAGGTATTGGAGGCCGAGCTGCAGGAAATTTGGCAGAGCTTCGCTAGGGCCTTTTTCTGTTCTTCCTAGGTTTCTGGTCGACCACTATTTAAAGGGGAGGGATGAGGGTTATCAGCAACTAGGTTTAGGATTTAAATGGGCTTATGGGTTTTAGGATTAGAAAAGAATCAATTGGGTTTAAGGATGGGTTTGAGATGTTACAGTTTATCTCTCTGGTTTTACGGAGAAATCTTCATTGACACATCTAAATTTTGGCTTGAATTTGCTGTCAGTTTTCTTTGAAGTCCTCTATAAAGATCTATCTATTTTATGCTTTATGTAATGTATTGTAGTAATCAAAGAGGCTGCTTAATGCTCTCTTTCTATTCTAATTGAGAAATTTAGATGAATGAATAAAGAGAAAAAATAGAGAAGAAGTCACTTTAGTAATGTTTAATATCAGAAAAGTTACTTAAGGAAACTATATCACTTTATCTTTTGGAAAAAACTAAATATTCTTATATTTGTTGTTTCATCTTCTTCTACAATTACTAAAAAAATAAAAATATTTTCATCTTTTTTTTTGATAGCCGCCGTAACAAAAAGAACCTTTAGTTTGACATTTTTTTTTCTGAAGAACATAACCTCTCATTTTCGTTTCTCTTATCTAGATCTTAAAAAGTTGAAGAACACAACCTCCCATTTTCGCATCTCTCTTCTATATCATTTTGAAGCACATATATTTACATAAAATGTCAAAGATGTGAAGATATCCTCCTCATTCCGGTGAACTGCCGTGTATAGAGAATATTGTGTTCTCTTTCTTTAGATCTCGTCCTCTTTTTTAGATCGGGTTAACGGTTCATTATCCAGCATTCATTGTCCATTGCTCATTATCAAGAAATGATAGAGACTGTGACTTGTGTCACCGGTATGGATTCTTTTTTCCTTCTAATGTTATTCATTTGTTCAGTCCATTCTCATACATATCTATCCACGTTTTTTAACCACATCCACATCCGCATTCACCATAAGACCTCATTCCCACAATGTTAGTTTTTAAGTTCGATGGAAGAATTGTGGATATGTGAGTGTGGACAAGCATTTGTCTGTAAGTAGGGAATGAAAAGTTTTCATGGACACTTAACATTTATAAGGGATGACTAGCATGGACACACATATACAGCTAACAAGCAGTGGACACAGTGGTATGTACATCAAATTGATACAACCATCCATGGATTTCCACACATTGTGAAATACATAAGGACTATGGACACAATTGCATAGACATGTGTTGTGGACAATCAGTAGTGAAAGTTTACCTTCCATAGAAGCTAGTACAGACACTACTACTATTTACAAACCAAGTAGCTAACTAGTATAGACACATTTACATGGATAATAAGCAGTGGACACATTGGTATGGACATGAAATTGATACAATCACATATAGATTTGCGCACATGGTTAAATGCATAAAGACGGTGGACACACTCCGCCTGGACATGAGTTGTGGACAATAAATATTAACAACAATTTCTCATTAGAAGTAATTTGTGTATATAAGTGATGAAACCATTTTAAAGTGACTTAATACTACAAAGTGGCTTACTTTGAAATTAAATTTCCTAAAATGAATTTTAAGTATATTTGTTGTTGAACTAGTCAACTACAATAAACATTAAAAAGATGTTCGCTATAAGGTTTAGGAGACAAAAAGGCGACACTGATCCCCATAACCTTGCACCATATTCAACGACAGCTCCAAACTCCCTCTACGTGCCCTCTGCAGTATAGGTGTTTTCTAATCTCAAAGCCACTCTGTGCAGGTTTATGTGAGTAGTAGTTATCAGGATCTATGTTTCGTTGCTTTGTGGTTTGTTTGGTCTAGGGGTTTTGGTTGGAATTTTTGTGTACGATCCGATCTTAGTCTCGAGATGTTATCTAGTTGTTGCTACGTGATATACGAAGGTGCTCGATCTAGTGTCTGGTTAACAATATAAATCTCTAGCCTTGTGCTACGTTCTGATTGATAGAGTGTGGGAGAAGAAGGTCCAAGGGAACCGGTACAAACTTTTTGCTTTCTGAAAGAATAAGCCCAAACAAGGAGACGCCTAGAGTTTTCGGAAGATGACATCATCAAGATCCCGGGGTGCGATCTGGTGGCAGTGATAGAGCGTTTCAAGAGGACCATCATTGGTCGCATGTTTTACCGTGATGAGAGAAGTATGGAGGCTTTACTGACGCAACTACCACATGCTCGGATCTGGGATATGGAGGGAAGAGTTAAGGGTACAAACCTTAGCAATGGCAGATTCCAATTTGACATTGATAAGGAGGAAGATCTGGTGAAAGTCTTAGCAAATCGCCTTTGTCATTTTAATCGCTGGAGTTTTGCACTCGAGGGATGGGAACCCTCAACACAAAAGGATTTTCCATTCATGATGCCATTTTTGATGCGAGTTACAGGAGTCCCCATGCATTACTAAAATGATGACACTTTCAAGGCTATTGGCAAAGCTTTGGGACATGTACTCAAAACGGATGCCGAGAAGGCACATTTGCAAGTTTTCATTAACGTAAATGAGCCCTTACAGTTTGAAAGAAGAGTGGGATTCTCGAATGGTAATGTTGGCAAGATTGAATTCAAATATGAGGGACTGCAACGGTTTTGCTTCAAATGTAAGCGCATCTCACATGAAACTAGCTCATGCCCAGAGATGCCTGCAGAGGAGAAGCAGAGCTACAACATGCCGGGAGAGGACCCAAAAGGGAAAAGAGACTCGATGCTGTTCCAAAAAGATGCAAAGGATTCACTAATGCGAATGAAATCCCCGGTAAGGGAGGAATATGAGAATCAGTATCAACAGTCTCAGTCAAGAAATGGTTTCAGAGAAACAGGGGAAAACTTCAGCCCCGAGAGAAGGAGGTCTGATTCGCATCCTAGCAAACTGGGGAAATTAAACTCAGGGGCTATCCGAGAAGTGTGGCGTGAGAATGAATAAGGGAGACTTGCTGATAATCAGAATATAAATAATAATCTATACCTTTCATCTTCAGAATGGAGTAAAGAAAGGGATCTATGGATGAATCTCAGAGGTAAGAGACTAGCCCAAAACAAGGATGTTTGGAACAGGATAAACGAGCCTTATGTGAGCTATTTTCCGCGACTTCGCTAGTCCAATGAATGGTATCCAAAATCTAGGTTTGTGCAGCACCCAAGGAGACATGATGTCGATAAACAAAAACCTTTCTGGAGACCAAGACAAAAGGATAATAGAGATGAAGAAGTGTCTCGACACATCCCCACGTAGAGACACATCTCGACAAAGTACACAACGGACAACAGAGCATCAGAAAGAGATGTCAGACTCATAGAGAACCATCTCGGATCACATTTCCGGTTTAAATATTAGCATGATTCGAAAGGAAACTGAGGTAGATAAAACTCTGCTGGAAACAGAGGAGGAGATATAAATGAGGGTAAAATGCAAAGCTCACGTTGTAGAAGCAAACTCCAAAAATGACAAAATTGTTCAATATGTATATTTGAAGAAATGGGTACCCTAACGATAAAAGAACCTGGAAATCTCGAAACTCCAACCTCAGCGAGGCAGCCAGAGAAAACGATGAAGAATCTGATTAATTCCAAGCAATGGAAATTGACGAAGAACTGGATTCAGATAAGCTAGGTGACGACCTGACCCCAACAACTTTAATGACCGATAAGAGCTTGAAGAATTCGATAGGATGGTATGGGATGAAAACCAATATGTCATGAATGAAGAAGAGCTGGAAAACGATGATCTGTTGGGAGAAGAAGTCAACAAGAAGGCTGAGAAAATTGATGCAATATCGCAGCTTACTCAGTCATCGTCACCAATCCAAAAGAAGGCTGGCAAGAGTAGAAAACAACACGAGGATATCCATATGCCCGCTCAGGTGGAAAACTGAAGAAACAAACTGGGAAACACACGGGGATTTGGTAAGGAAGTAAACGACAAGTGCTGCATAGTCCAAAAGCTAGGGGGGGGGGGGGTGCGTCCAAGACTATCCAGGGCTAGAGAGGACGTGCATCACCAAAGAAAAGACAGGGACTCGGTAACAATACGCTTCCCTCTCATAAATCATCTGTTCCTCGCCATAAGGTGTTTCCTTCTGCTCTAAGCAAGAAGACCGTTGCTGTTTCAGGTTCGTTGATGTCCCAGAAATCACCCAGTAAGAAGATATGAACACAATAGCATGCAATTGTCAAGGTGCATGAATTTATCTTATCAAACAACACTTTAGAGAGCTGCACTGCTGTTTTTCACCTGCTGCTTTTCTTTTTCTTTCAGAAACAAAAAGTAATTTCTCTTTTATGCAAGAATTTCAAATTTATTTTGGTTACAATAAATCGTTTACCGTAGAACCGGAACGTACAAGCGGGGGACTTGCTTTGTTTTATATGGATGTTTTTGATGTTAAATCCTGTTCTCAAATGATCGTCTGATAGACATCGAGACAGTTGTAGAGTAGAAAAAGTCTTTGTGACATTTGTATATGGAGATCTGGTCCCAAAGTACTGAGCGCTGGTGTGGGAAAGACTGAGACGTTTAAGTACCCCGAGATCAGGAGACTGGTTTATGATAAGAGACTTAAACGAGATCACATGCCACCATGAGAAGCGAGGGGGACGAAAACGTTCAAACGCGTCTTTTATCCCTTTTAATACGTTGCTGGACGATTGTGGAATGATGGAATTTCCCGCCAAAGAAAATACATTTTCATGGATGGAAAATCGTAGAAGTGGTCGGGTTTGATGCAAATTAGACAGAGCCTTCGGAAATGTAGAGCGACATCATGACTTTTCTCATACGGTTGTGGAGTACCTAAAGCTATGGGGGTCTGACCATCGCCCCATCTTTGCCCGTATCCAATCCAAAAAAGGACGGGTGAAAAATAACTTCAAATTTGACAAGAGATGGCTGGAAAAGGAAGGCTTGATAGAGGCCATTATTGAGGGATGAGGATCCTTAGGCCCTACGGAAGGGAACAACATATATTCAAGGATAGGCAACTGTTGGAAAGTCATATCTATCTGGAGACGTCTAAACCCGTCCAGCACAATTAAAAAGATCGAAGATATCAAGGCAAAGCTAGAGGTAGCTCAGGACAATGACGAGGTTACAAATGACGAGCTTCTTACCCTAAAATATAATCTCTGTAGCGCTTTTCGAGAGAAAGAACTCTTTTGGAAGCAAAAAAGTTGGGCATGTTGGCTAAAAGAAGAGGACAAGATTACAAAGTTCTTCCACGCTACCGCTAAACAGAGAAGGGCAAGGAACCAGATCATTAAACTAAAAAACAGCAATGGAGTATGGGTCAAAAATGAGCAAGGTACAGAGAAAGTTGCTATAGATTACTTTAAAAATCTCTTTACTATAACTCAGCCACAAAATTTTGAGGAAAACCTCCGGTACATTACCGCGCAAGTTACCCCATCTACCAATGAGAAGCTGACATGCAAACCATCAGAGGCGGAGATAAAGAAAGCCCTCTTTGCAATAAATCCAGAAAAGGCCCCAGGCCTGGATGGCATGACAAGTCTCTTTTTTAGGCGGTTCTAGGAGGTCCTCTCGAGAGATATAATCAGGATGATGCATGATTTTTTTGAGCAGGATAGTTTCGACCCACAATTAAACCAAACGGATATATGCTTGATACCAAAGACCAGGAGACCAACTGAAATGTCCTAGTTCTGACCCATCAGTCTCTATAATGTTTGCTACAATATTATCTCAAAGATCTTAAGCACACGACTTGAAAAAAATCATCCCGAAATTAATTTCGAAGACTCAATCAGCATTTCTGGCTCGACGTCTAATCACATACAATATATTAATGGTGCAAGAAGCCTTCCATGCCTTACGAACGAATCAGATGTGCAAAGGCAAAATTGTAGCTATCAAAACAGACATGACTAAAACCTACGATCAAGTTGAGTGGACGTGTCTAGAGGCCTTGAAGCTAAAAATAGTCTTTGCAGAAAATGAGTAACATGGATTAAATGGTGCATTTCGTCTGTAACATACATAGTGCTGCTTAACGGGGAAGCAAAATAGAATATTATCTCAACGAGAGGTTTGAGACAAGGGGATCCCCTATCTCTCTTTCTGTTTATTATACTCACGGAAGCACCCATCATAAAGATAAGAGGAGCAGAAGAAGAGGGGCGGATTACAGGCCTGAAAATCGCCAGAACATGTCCAAGTATATCTCATCTCCTATTCGCGTATGATTGTTTGTTCTTCTGTAAGGCAGATAAAACAGAATGTGCTGAACTTATTAATATAATAGAGGATTATGGTAAAGCATTAAGATAATAGAGGATTATGGTAAAGCTTCAGGGCAAAAGCTAATCTGGTCCAAATCATCTGTATTATTCGGGAGTAAGGTAGGGACAAAATGCAAAACTGAGATCAAAAACACTTTTAGGAATACACAAAAGAAGGCGGTATGGGAGTTTATTTAGGACTACCAGAGAAAATTTGTTGATCAAAGAAGCAAGTTTTTACATTCATTCATGATGCGGACATCAAACCTGAAGATGCAATTCCCGCCATGAGGTTTCCACCAAGGACAAGAGCTGGTACAAAGAGACTTCAAGAAGAGTATAACCAAACCGTAGACAGTCTAATGAGCCAACAAGCACTTGAAGAAATAACGGACCAACTTGACAAACTCGCCATCACTTCAAAGGATGCTTCACCTGAGACACTTGAAGACCACATCACTCAAGTTCATAATGCACACTAACAGGACGGTCCATACATCGAATTTAACTCATATGAAGAACCATGGCCGGTTATATCATCCAATCAAGGAACCACCTTGTTTTCCATCAAACCGAGCTAAATCAGAGCCAAGGAGAGATCAAACCGGACTTCCAAATCTATCAATCCGCCCACAGCAAATCAAGGTAAGTCTTTGAATCATTTATATCATATTTTGACTAATCCCTTGTGCTTATCTTTGTTTGATCTCAACAGCTAATTCTTTAAAATTAGCAATTTTTTATTTATGAACTTTTGTGTTATTGCTTTGATTTTTTCTTTGATTTTTCATTTTGATTCTTGCATTAATTTCTTGTAATAAATTGGCCAAGAAAGCTCTCAGCTGTTTGAACCATATATAAGGTTCCTTCAGCTATGTATTTTTCACACTTGATTGATAAGAAAAATCCTTTTTGTTGTTCTTACAGAATTGCAAACAAATCAGAGTTCTTTGAGATTGTGTGAGAAACCTTTCTCTTGAGTTCTAGACTTACCTCTGCTTATTCCATAAAGCTGAGTGGCGTCCATCATTCCCCCATACTTCTATTTCATCCACTGATCAAGCCTGAAAGAGACTTCAGTCCAGCAGATTGATCCCATCACCATCCACTTCGATCATCCTTTGAGCAAGTAGAAATAGACTTCAGTCCAGCTGCTTGTTTCCATCCATTCACCTGTCAATTATAAGATCATACCCCCTTGATCTTATATCAATTCAAGACCGCCTCAAAAGGATCAATGCCTGGTCCTCAAAACTTCTCTCAAAGGGAGGGAAGAAAGTTTTAATTAATTCATTAGCACAGGCGCTGCCTACTTATGTTATGTCATGCTTCCTTCTTCTGAAATCTATTTTGAAGAAGCTTAATGGAGCAATTTCCCACTTATGGTGGAGTACAAGACAATCAAACAAATTGATATAAGATTGGAATCACTCCAACTTAAGATCGCTCAATGATCAAGAGATTCCAAGCTTAAACTTACGGAAGGTGGAAATGATGGTAGAGATGGACGAGGAAGTGACTGACTCACTCAATCAATGGGACGAAAACAATCTGTTGAATCACACAACAAACATATTTGTGGCTTCACTAGAGGATGGTGTATCACACACTAAACTCAAATGAAAAGTAACTCAATGAAGACTAGTCTTTGAAAAGAAAACAATACTTTTGTATTAATGTATGATCAAGGGTTGAATACAAAGATGAAATGACTTGAGCTTATATAGGCTCGACACTAGGGACTAGTACAACGTTTTAATGACTCAAAAGGAAACAAAAATGCACAAAATTAAGTAGGAAATAAAGAGAGCTGGCTCCTTGAAGAAATATAGCCGTTAGGCTTAATTTGTGCTTAGCCAAAAG